ATTCTACTTTTAAAAGATGAAAGCAAGTGGCGTCTTCATCGATTTGCAAACACAAGCTGCTCGTGGCTATTCTGTACGAGCCTTGGGTGCTGCGCGGCCCCCCCCGTCGCTGACGATGACGCCCAGAATCCAGCAGTTGACCAGGAAGAAGGCCACGGATGACGCCCACAGGCCAGGGAAGAAGGTGCTGCGTCCCAAGAACTCCAGCTCGTACCCCTGGTGCAGCCACGCTCCTTGCGAGACGAGCCATAGGACCAACGCCGTCATGCCCAGGCGCGGCTTGCGCAGGAATGTCGAGGTGGGGAGGTACAAGGGCAGGAAGATCATGTACCAGAGAAAATACTACGCTTGTTAGCCCGCCCCGTGAAGATGCTCGTTTCGTCCATGGGCAGTTTTGTGGACGTGAAGCACATCGGCCGCCCAGTGTACGGCTTACCTGCGAGGTGCACACCTTGTTGAAGGTGACAAAGGCAAATGTCTGCGCCATCATGGTCGTCGCCAGGTCCTTCTTGGCCAGGACCAGCGGGATGAGGACGCACGAGAGCGACAGCTGCGGGAGGAAGGCGAGCGACTCGGCGTGCAGGGGGATGCCTGGCCGCGAGGACGCGAGGTACAGCAGGACGTTGTAGGGCGAGAAGTTGTGCCGGTGGTCGATGCGAGTGAGGTGGTGGAAGAAGGTGTGCACGAGGAACGGGCGGCCGTAGCTGCGGAAGTCTGCTTGAGTAACTGCGGCACGACGAGGGGACGAAAAAAAGGGGGGGGGGAGACATACACGGCGTACATGAGGACGTTGAGTCCCGTAAAGGTGACGAGGCTCACGGCGGCGAGCTGGATTCTGTCCCGGGACAGGAATCGCGCGCGGCGGCGGCGGCGGGCCTGCTTGCGACGCGGGCGGTCGTCGTCCATCCACCACGCGATGGCGGGCGCCCAGATGCACGGGTATATCTTGAAGTGGACGCCGAGGCCGAGCAGCGCGGCGGCGAGGTTGACCCTGTGCCCTTCGGCGGCCCAGACGAGCGCCGTGGCCAGGACGCCCAGCAGGCCTTCGGCGCTGCCGCGCGTGCTGATGGTCGCGACCATGGGGTTCCAGAGCCACAGGGCGGCGAAGGCGCCCGCTTGCTCGGGGGGCATGCCCCTACGGCGGAGGATGCGGAGGATGAGCCACCCGGCGAGGAGGTCGGCGAGGGCGAAGACGACTTTGCCGAAGGAGAAGAAGGACACGGTGGGGAGGAGGAGCCATGCCAGGAGAGGGGTGTAGCGGTAGGTGTCGCGCGCGTAGGGGGACTGCGCGTGCCAGACGTAGCGGGATGCGTCGGTGAAGACGAGGTAGTCGATGTCTGTGTATTTGATGGCCGAGTGGGCGTCTTGGTAGGTGCCGTACACGAGGAGCGCGGCGCGGAGGAGGGCGGCGATGAGGAGGAGCGGCGTTGGGCGGAGGAGCGATGCCATCATGGCCATGGCGTTGGCGACGGCGGCGATGCGACGATCAATGAGGATTGAGAGACGTCGGTGGAGGTGTCTCCCATGCTTGCGGGCGGGAGGGGGAGCTTGTGTCGATGCTGGCGGCGGAGTGCGTTCCGCCCTGCTCTTCACATCCCTTGGTGTTGATTCACACGTGCGAGCTTGGAGCTTGGAGCTTGACGGATGGCACTTTGTGTCTGGTGGGATGCAGTTGGGGGGGATGGGGAAAAACGTGGGGCGCAAATTGTTAGTGCGGCTCCCAATCCGTCACACCAGACCGCACCGTTCAATGGGGATGCGTTTGGCGAACCCACCTCCATCAACAACAACCTCACTTGGCCCCGTTGAAAACCGCCATCACCAAAAGTATCAAGATTTGGACGCGTGAACATGCCCGCGGGAACTAAGAGAGACCGAGACGGCAACGCGCGCTCCAGATCATCGCAGGACGCGCCCCGCACCAGATTCCAGTCCCTGTTTGAAAACTTTCGCGATGAGCTGGATGAGCACTATGATCGGAAGGAGAGGGTAGTCAAGGCGTCGAGGGACGTCACCGCCCAGAGTAAGAAGATGTACGCTTCCCACTGTAATGTATTATATATACAGACTGTACTAATTCTGGACAAAAAGTATTTTTGCGCTGCAACGGTAAGATGAGATGAGCAGCTACACATGCACACAAACATACATACAAAACGTGGTGACTTTCGACACCTTGGCTCACAAGAATTAGAGTAAAACACATCAACCAGGGCCTGCCCCCGTCTACGGAAAAGGACGTGGCCACACGCATGGCTGAAATCACGGCACTCCTGCAATCCATCTCCCCGGATGTGCAGTCCATAAACCGCCACCGATACAGCTGGTCGCTTCGATGCCTCGAGGAGCTGGTCGAGGCACTCTCGTTTGCGCACTACCTCCGCCACCAGAAGCTGATTACTCCCCAGGAGGCGGCGGCTTCTACTCCGGGAGACATTGCGCTCACGCCCCACGACTACATGTTTGGCGTCTTTGACCTCTTTGGCGAAATGATGCGGTTTGCGACGGTGACGACGGCGCAGCATGGGGAGATGCTGGGCGGCGAGGATGGGCGGAATATACTGGGCGATATTCAGGAGCTGGGGTGTGCGTTTGAGGCGCTGCGGGAGATTCCCACCAGGGACTACAGGAACAAGATGGAGGCCATGAGGCAGAGCGTGAGCAAGGTGGAGAAGCTGGGCTACGGGCTTGCTGTCAGGGGGAGCGAGAGACCCAAGGGGTGGGTGCCTGACATGAAGGACGACGTGGAGGCCGGGAGTCCCTGATTGAGGCTGCGAGGAGGGATGTGAGAGATGCACTTTGTGACTTGTTGGGACAGTGGCCATGTGGGCGTGTTGGAGAGGTTGGTGAGTAGTACACTTGTTGAGAAACCGGGCGAAGATGATGGATCATGCTGTATGCAGACCGTCATGGACAGAATATGCTTCTCGCTTTGCTGGGGCTTTGTGTGTTGGCTGCATTTCCCTATTTTGCCTTTCTAGCCATGTGTCAAAAGTCAATAATGGACTACTTTGGGTTCGGTATGGACATGGACCACCTTTGATGAGCATGTGACGCCTATGGATGCTGAGCACGTAGATGCCGCGTCCTCAAGCTGGCCCTTTAGTGTATACAGAAAATGCACCAGGACATTACAACAAAGCTTGGATAGGCCGGTCTTCTATTGACTTTCGATGTCGTCCAAGTCTTGTGGTTAGCCCGCGGCAGGTGTACCTGAATCGGCGCCACGTGGTTACCGTGTCTGTACCTGCCAAGTCCCATGCCACAGTGCATGTAGGCCATGGATACAAATTAACAACCCGGATACATGCTGCCAAAACCAAGATTCTCGTATATTGCGTTAGCTGTCGTAGGCGGCCCCGATTAGGTTTGCTGTTCCTTGTTTCGTTTTCAAGCGTCATCTTGTCGTGGCTGGGGATCTTTTAGCCATCATTTACACTTTGGTTTGAGTACAGAGATCTCGATCTCATTGTTTGAGCAGGTACCTCAGTCAGCCTTTGTGAAGGGCAGACCTGCCATTGTAAGGTGCAATAATGGCGAATCTGTGCTGGCTTTTGTACACGTAGTGCTCAGATAGTAACACGACAACATCTCATTACAAGTGAGCTGCTCGTTGATGAACACTCCCGTGAAAAAAGACACACAATACCTTTGTCGTGACTAGCCAAAGAACATCTCTCATCTTGACATTCGACGTCCTTCGACGTAGACAGCGAGGACGCCATTGTATCGAAACCTTATTGTCTTGTAAAGTGCGGGATCGGACTACCTGGCCCGTGGGCCCCCTTGGTGAACCTTGAAAATGCATTATTCTAGACTATTTCCCGTATTCCAAGGCTGGTCCTCCTCTGGATGCCTTGGATCGTGTGTCTGTGAATCGAGGACCCCCTTGGTGAACCTTGAAAAATGCATTATACTAGTCCATCTCGCTTATTCCAAGGCCTGCCTCCTCTCGATGCCTTAGATCGTGTGTCATTACATCGACGTAGTTTGGATATAGACTTTGCCCGAGTTTCGATAGCGAGGAAGACGTCCCAGCCTTTGGAACCCCGTAGAATTTGAAATTCCTCTATATAAATGTAGCCGGGACCTGCACTCTTGATTCTGTTCTTCCTGATTTGTCCTCCCACAGTTCATTTCCCCTTGAGTTTCCTGACACTGCAATTCCCTTTGAACTTGGTGCCACTTTCACCACTGCTCGTGCCATCACTTTGCAGTACAGCACCCACATACAAACAACTATTTCCTTCTGACCCCTAATACATACACACATCACCTCATTCCCCCTGAACTTCCGGACACTTTACCCCCTTGAACTTCCTGCCCCCTCTTCCACTGCTGTCTACGTGCCTTTCTTTGCACTACAGCACTTACAAACAACTATTTGCATACTTCATCACCATTGAAGTCCCTGCTTCCCCTATTACTGCTGTTTACGTGCACCTTATTGCACGGCAGCACTTACAAACACCTATTTACACACTTCAAGTTGGCTGAAGTCCCTGTTCCCCCTCCCACTGCTGTCAAAGTGCCACTTATTTGCACTACAGCACTTATTATTACACATTGACTTCATCTCTCTTGAAGTCCCTGTTCACATACCGCTGTTTACGTGCCACTTTATTGCACGACAGCACCTACTATTTACACACTTCACCTTCCTTGAAGTCCCTGCCCCCCTTATCACCGCTGTTTACGTGCCACCTCTTTGCACTACAGCAACTATTATTTACACACTTCATCTTCGTTAAAGTCCCTGTTCCCCTACCCCTGCTGTTTACGTGCCACCTTATTGCACAACGGCATCTATTATTTACATACTTTAACTTCCTTGAAGTCCCTGTTCACCTACCGCTGTTCAAGTGCCACCTTATTGCACTACAGCACCTATTATTTACACACCAGTGACTTCATCTCCCCTGAAGTCCCTGTTCCCCTACTGCTGTCGACGTGCCACCTTTTGCACTACAGCACTTATTACTTTCCGCCAACCAGTCATCATGCCTTTTGTTCCCTTTGACGAGGAGATGACCGACTTGTTCCAGGAGTCCTGGCTTTCGGAAGACCCAGATGCCAACACTGGGTCAATACCGACTGTCCTTGACCCTGAGCAAGCCCCGATTGGCCTTTACGTACCGGCCGAACAGGAACCCGCTGCCGCCGCTGCCGCCGCCGACGTCCCCTCCACTGCCGCTTCTTTCGTGGACCCCAGCATGCTCGGTTTGGACGGTACTGACGGCGACTTTCTTGCTGGTTTTCAACCTTTGGACAATGGCGTGACGGACCCCATGGACGTGGACAACATGCCTGATCATCAGGACGAATTCCCCACTCCCCTTGGCGGTTTGAACGGCTCTCTGGTTTCGGGTAACTTTATTAATCTAGATGACACTAGTCATCTAGATATCTTTCTTAATCTGGACAACGCCGGCAATCTGGACAACGCTGGCAATCCAGATATCTCTGTTAATCCGGACGCCTCTGGTATTCCGGATATCTCCATCAGTCCGGACAACGCTGGCAATCTGGACACCTCTGCCGTAGACCCGGCCCATAGTGTGGCGGCCCCGGAAACCAGCACTCCCAACCCGCTGGTATATTACTCGCCGCCAAAAGTCCAGCATATACAGCCCAATTCATGGCAGCTGGGCCCTCGGAGCGCATGGGACGCCTACCAGCCCTCGAACTTTCCGGTTTCGTCGGCTGGTCACGAAGTCGAACAATTTCACATCAAGTTCGACTATCGCCCCTTGCCGCCCAGCCGAAGCCTACGCGAGCCCAAGGCAGCCAAGATGTACGTTGAAAAGTACACACCTCGGGAGCCGAAATGGGCGTATCCCATCGTCCTGGTCCACGGCGATTTCCACACGGGCAAAATCTGGGCCACCAAGCCCGACGGCAAGCAAGGATGGGCGGCCTTTTTCATCAACAAGGGCTTCACCGTCTACGTCGTCGACCTGCCTGCCTGCGGACGCTCCATCGAATTCGACCAGTCCATCGTCCAATGGAGCAAATACGCGAGCTGCACGGCAAAGCTCACCCGGGACAATGCCGAAGCCACGTGTACAGCGGCGAGCAAATTCCAGCGATGGCCCGACGCCCACAAGCACACCCAATGGCCAGGAGTAAGTTTCCCCCCAATTTTTCCCGTTTGACAATTTTTGTTTTTTCCGCAACCGTTTCGTACTAACTCAAAAGTAGAATGGACTGCGAGACGACGGAATTTTCGAAACGTACATGGCTTCGACGGTGCCCCTGTACTTCCGCCGACACGAACGACAAGCCATCGGCAAGGCGGCCCTGACAAAGCTCGTCCAGCGCACCGGGCCGGCCATTCTCCTCGGCGAAGGAAGCGGCGCCACGCTCTCGTACCTGGCGGCCGACGCGCTCCCCGACACCGTCAAGGCCGTCCTGGCCGTGGAGCCCGCCGGCCCCCCGGGAGGCACGAACCGCGCGCTCAAGGACAACACGCTCGTCTTCACCAACCAGGTCCGGTACTTCGCGCAGCACCGGCCGTACGGGCTGGCCGACATCCCGCTCACTTTCGACCCGGCTGTGCCCGAACCAGCCTACGACGAGCACGGCGTCACCCAGCCGCCGCTGGACCTGTTCGCGACCGCCGCGGGCACCGACGACGGCGTCTGCCTACTTCAGCGTGGCGGGCCGGAGCTCAGGCAGGCCGACACCACGGGCAGGGTGCTGCCGCCGGAGGCGCGCCCGGGGGTGGTCAGGAAGCTGGCGGCGCTGGGCAGGGTGTGCCAACTCGTGGTGACGGCGGAGGCGAGCCACCACGCGACGTGCGACGGGGCCACGGTCGCGTTTATGCGGCAGGCCGGCGTCGGCGTCGACCACATCAGGCTCGAGGAGGCGGGTGTCTGTGGCAACGGCCACCTCATGTACCTGGAGAAGAATAGCGACGCGGTCGCCCAGGTCATCTTTGAGTGGGTGACGTCGAGGGTGCCAGGGGCCTCGTTGTGAAGGCACTGGGAGGATTTTGGGAAAACGGTTTCTGGAGACTTGGGAAGGTTGGACGGAGACGGGACTGGGAAGGGACACTGCGCTGGATATTGCTGAAGGCTGCTACTCTTTTTCCCACTGGGTTTTAACGAGGGCAGCGGGACTTGTTTTGGTTTTGTTATTGCGACTTGGGAATAGGGACTTGGGGATCTGGGATTGGGAATTTGTCTTTTCTGTTGGCGTTATTATTGGCAACGGGCGCTTGGGACACAACACACCAGACTGTTTATTGCACACAATTGGAATTACAGCTGCGACGGCGTTAAGACAAACAATGGAACTTTATTTTTTTTTTACGCTCGTAAAGTAAAGTAAAGTAAAGTAAAGTGAAGTGAAAGATGAACATGGCATGATTAACGCCTGTTGCTCGTGATGTAGTCGCGCGGTCCATCTCATTGGCCATATTGCCAGCAACGCCCCCGCTCTCCAGGGGTTCCCGCACAAGTAGCTCCCATCGCATGACGGACAATTGGCCACGGCGACCCGTTAGTGCGATACTTTGTCATGGCTGTTCGTGAACAGCCACTGGGCGCATGTAGCTCTGTGATGAGAAATATAAAATACGTATCCCGCCGTCACACGGCATCGTGAAAAATCACAGTGACAACTACGCACTCACATCCACACCATGTCTTGCGAGTACCCCGTCGCGTGTGCAAACCTCAACCTCTTCGACGACGACGAAGCCCGGTGGCGGGCGGTGCAGACGCGCGACGGCCTAGCAGACGGCTTCTTCGTCTACGCCGTCAGGACGACAAAGGTGTACTGCCGGCCCATCTGCAAGGCCCGCCTGGCCCGCCGGTCCAACGTCCGCTTCTACGCGACGGGGGCGCAGGCGCAGGCGGCCGGGTTCAGGGCGTGCAAGCGCTGCCGGCCCGAAATGGAGGGCTTCATGCCCGAGGAGCGCGCCGTCCGGCGGATCCGCGCGTTTGTCCTGGAGCGGGCTGGCACGGCGGCGGGCGAGCAGGGCTTGAGCCTGAGCCAGATGGCTGGGAGGTCGGGGCTGTCCAAGTGGCACTTTCACAGGGTGTTCAAGAGGACCGTGGGCGTGACGCCGTTTGAGTACCTGCGCAACGAGAGGGCTGCCTGGGGGGGAAGCGCGACGGGGGATGGCGAGGGAGTGTGGGATGGGGAGCAGGCTGCGATGGCCGGGGCGTTGGGCTTGGACGACTTCAATCTTTGGACCGTGGGCACCGTGGGCTCCTTGGGCTTGGAGACGGACGGTTCTGGCGAGAGCGCGAGTGCGAGTCTGGGGCTGGAGCTGGATGATTTGTTGGTTTGGCCGGATGAGGCGACGGGGTGACGAGGCAAACGGGCGCGAGGCTCAGAAATTGGGTTCTGCAACGGGGTTGCGCTGCGCATGGCCGCCGAGCACTACGACATGGGCTGTGATACAATAAGGACCCGACAACATGGATGGATGGCGGGCAACGAAACCCGTGCAGATACTCACGGTCGCTGCCGGGAGAAGAAAAGAGCGTCAAAACCCGAAGACCGTCTAACCCCGAGCAGAGGTGTTGGGTGCACCGCACCGCTATCGCCATCAGCCAAGCACATCCCGGCACGCATGAATTTGAGAGGCCGCGGTGAAGACACTTGCTCTCGGAGCGCAAAGGCCGGTCAGATTTGCTTCCAGCTGTCATCCTCTCGGCAGACTTGCCGTGGGATGGTTACGCGACGCTGACTAAAACAAGGCCTGTGATTGGCCGTGCCCGCCGCCACACCCCTGCAGTGATGAACGACTACTCTGCGCCTCTGACTGAGACGGACAGTCGACAGTCCGTGGTTCGTCCTCTTGTGCAACGCGGTGTGCAGAAAAGGGAAAAGCCGAGTTGACGCACTGCATTGCAAGCTGCGGGATTGGCTGGATTTGCGTTTTGGTCTGTCGGCCGGGGCGAGAGACACTGCATGCTCGAGCGCCACTTACACCAGCCGTATAACACACACACACATACTTAAGGACATATCTCGACTCTCATACACAAACCGCCATCCACCACCTTTACTTTATCCCTTCACCCGCTTCCACCAAACTCCATCAGAGGAAGCAAACCAAAAACAATCAGATACACACAACAACGCCAAGAATTAACAACAATGCCGCCTACAGAATCATCCCCCCTGCTCCCCGCAGAACCTCGCACCGAGGCCCCCTTCCCTCGCGCCTACGACTCCAAGTCGCTCGAGACGCGGTCGACGTCGTCCCACTCGAGCGGCGGCTCCGGCTCCCCGCGCTTCGACTACGGCGACGTGCTCCGCGACGTCATCATCGGCTTCTCAGACGGCGTCACGGTGCCCTTTGCCCTGACGGCCGGCCTGTCCAGCCTCGGCAGCACCAAGCTCGTCATCATGGGCGGCCTCGCGGAGCTCTTCTCGGGCATGATCTCCATGGGCCTGGGCGCGTACCTGGCCGCCGTGACGGAGCGCGACACCTACGAGGCCGAGCAGGAGGAGCGCGCCGCCTGCCCGCCCCCCGAGCGGCGCGCCGAGACGCACGCCATCCTCGAGCGCTACGGCGTCTCGCGCGCCGCCGCCGGCCCCATTGTCGACGAGCTCTGCGCCGACGAGCGCCGCTGGCTGCGCTTCAAGATGGACTTTGACCTGCGTGCCGAGCGGCCCGCCGCGCACCGTGCCTGGGTGTCGGGCGTCACTATGGGCCTGAGTTACTTCGTCGGCGGGCTGATTCCCATGGTTCCCTACTTTTTGCTGGATAATATCCGCGACGCGCTGGTGGTTAGTGTTGCCGTGACGGTTGTTATCTTGTTGGGGTTCGGGTACGTCAAGAACTATGTTGCTATTCGGAACCATCGCGCTGGTGCGTGGGGCGCTTTGCAGACTTTGGTTATTGGCGTCCTGGCTGCTGGTACGAGTTACCTCATTGTCAAGAGTTTGGATAGAGGCGAGACGTGAGGTTTTGACCTTGGAATGAAGAAATAATGATAGAAGGAAGGATTGTGTTTTTTTTTTGTTGTATACTGCATTGCGTGGCGTTGGGCGGGAAATTCATAAAGTCATGGCTTGTCATCTCCTAGGGAATTGCTGGGTAGAATCCACTCGATATTTTTCAACTCAAGACACTTGTGATTCATCGACACCATCTCGTGTACACTATACTTGATTGAGCTCCATGCTCGTTCTGTATCTTGTAGGCGACGACTACTATTTTCTGACCGTCCAGCTTGCTCGCCGCAGGCACAGCCGACATGGACCGTTTATTGTCGAATTCACTACCGTCCATGGCAACGTAGCACCGGGTACCGAATGGTCACAAAGGTATTTACCTCACTACACGTCCCGATAAATAATTACCTACACGTATCCAATTTCACAGCCCGTTGCAAAAGATGCCCCAGCACGCCATCCCGAGAAAAGCACCCAGTCCATCGACCCCTTTGCCGCTCAGAAGACACCAAACCCCTCCACGTCCATCCTCGGCCGGCCAAACCCAATCTCGACCCTCCCAACCGTCAGACAAGAAAATGCCTACCAAGCCCGCCTCTACGCCAATGGACAGGAGTTCTGCCTCAATCTAGACGTTTGCGCACACACGTCAAGTTTCTGTATCCAATCTTCCCCCCTTTACTCTCAATACCTTTATTCGACTGCACATTCTTGTCGAGAGCCAACTCCCCACATGTAAGCACCCTCATACTAACGCAGATCCATTCAAGATACATTTGATGTAGATAGCTTGGTGAATGACCCATGCTCCTCCGGGAATCACCGCATTAATAAAATAGGGTGATAGCATCTGGCACCAATCTTGGCAGCAAGGGGTGCTCTCCTGCTCATAGCTCCTTTACGCAGATGGCATTCACTGCCATTGAGAATCCTAACAAACCGCTAAAAGGCAACACACTTCTAAAGTGACATCAAGACTCAGAGAAAGAAAAGGCGTCAGGAAAGGAGACTCCATGAATACAATTGAATCAAATACCGCTCCATTAGACCCGCTTGCAGACCCAGGACCGCTCTGGTCAACCAGGTCATCAAACCGCCACCCGCCTACCTAAGGTACCTAGTATGAGATACAAATAAAAGTACAAACATGGTCTATGGTCGCTGTTGTGCGTCTTGCCACTATCGATACACTCACAAAACCCAAAACTCATTCGAGCGGAAAAGAAATCGACAAAAAATCAACCGACCTTGGTGCCCCCTAGGGAATGCAAAAGTCAATCCAGCTGCCCAGATAATCCAGCCTATACCCCAAATCCTCCTGACCCTTGTAAATGTCTTCAAACTCTTCAAAGCTCAGACGCCCCCAGCCTCCACGTTTAACAGCTTCTGCCTCGGCAATGGTCAGACGCTTCCAGCTTCGGAGGGTGGCGGCATCTGGCTCTTCTTGGGCTGCTTGATGCGACGATGATCGCGGGGCGTGTACGAGTTCAGATGCCCCTTGTCGGGCAGCCAGCTCGTCCGCTTCTGCGATATTGTTTGGGCGGAACTGCGGCAACGTCGGGTCTCGGTATTCTGCGGGCTCGTCGTCTGTGTTGGATCCTGCACCGTCTACCTGCTCCTCGTGGATGATTTCCACAGAACCGTCCAAGTCTACCGCATTACGGGGCTCATCTGGGACTACTGCGTATCCGGTATCGGCCAGGAGCTCATCTAGTGACTTCTCAGAAATAGCCTTGCTAGTGGGCTGCGACTCGGGCCTGCGCTGGTTTGGCGGTGCCTGGGATTGGGACTCGGGGAGGTCAATGGCATCAATCTGCGCCTTGTACTTTTCCCGGTCTTTTGCAGATTCTGCTGCCGCAACCGCCATGTCTTCTGCCTTCTTAAATATGGTGTCAAGAAGCTCATTAAATGCCTGTTGGGTTACTTGATAGAGGATTTCTTTGCCGGCATCCCTTTCGGCATCCGGAATATCCATGCCGCCCCACCGCTCAGGTACGCTCCTCGACGACGTGGACGGGTTGGATCGAATCTCATAGTCGTCCGTATCCTCGGCGAATCGAACCTTGGAGCTAGAGCGGGATCTAGTTGTGACGGGTGCTGGATCCCTGGCCTTGGAGTCCTCTGTTATCAGGTTGACTCGCGCGAGAATATCCTCTTCGGCATCCCAATCATCCGGTGCAATGCCACCCTCTTCCTCGTCCAAGTAAAACTGCCGTCTCTTCCACCGGTCGTGGAGATGCTTCCGTGCCATGTCTCGACGCTGCTTCTCCAACTTGGGCGCCAGCCTGCGACTTCGCGCAATAGCCCGAGCCCGCGATTCGCTGTAGGTACGGCCTGATTCACCAGTTTGCATATCCCCATCATCCTCGTCTTCATCTTCATCCTCATCCACATTAGCATCAACATCCTCGTCCTCATTGTTATTGAAGACATGGGGAATATCGTCCAGTGTGGCTGGAGGATCAAGCAGTGATGACCAATATGCTCTATCTAGGTCACCGCCACTCACACGCCGCACCGTCCGCCAGTTAGTGTCGGCGTCGCTGCGTGAGACCAATCGACGGGTTTGTCGTGTATCTGTGTCGTATGCAAATAGGCTGGCCAAGATGTCTTCTCTGGGGGCGGTATCGCCCCTGTTTTCAGTGAAAACACTACTGAAACCATCCGCTACTTCGATGCTACCATCTCTTCGATTGGTTTTGCCCTCAATCCTGAAGCCCGAATCGGCCGAGGGAATTCTACCCTCCCTGCCGAAAAGGCTGCTAAGCGGCTGTCGACTGGACACTAGTTGCTGGGCCTCGGTGCTGGCAAGAAGCTGGTCGTCAAGTCCGTCCAGGATGTCCTTATGCATCTGCTTGTATAGCACATAGTAGGCCCTGAACATTCTGAGAAAGTCGCGTCGGTTTACATAGCCGTCCCCGTCAATATCGTATCCCTCAAACACTCTTTTGAGCTTATCTCTGCGTTTTCTGTACGACAAGCCGTGGAGAAACTCAGAAAATCCAATCAAACCGTCCTTGTTGGAGTCGTAAAAGGAAAACATGCGATCATGGATTAGATTGGGCGCTGCATGTCGTGATCCGCCTGTAGGCACCAGACATCGCTCAAACGTCTTACGATCCATGGCAACACACAGTTCCTCGGGGTCATCGCGCCAATCCGTATTGGCCATGTAGGTCCACTGCTCCCAGAAGGCTTCCAGCTCGGGTCGTTCGAACCCAGTATCCCTCGATAGGCGTGCAATCAGCCCTTTTGGGATATTGCGGCGGCAAGTGTCGGGATCACCAGTGTACCAGACGGGCTGCATCTGCCTGGGCCCAAACGGCGGTGCAGGAACCTTGATCTTGTAGAATATATGCGTCTTGTTGTGCACGCCTTGGGACTCGCATGTCTCGCAGAGATCAAAGTCGGCACAGTTGGCGCATCGATAGCGCACTCCGCGTATAGGTACCATGCCACATGAATTACACTGGCATCCCCTGTGAACACATCCGTTACGCCGAGCGTTATCCTCAGACACCCTAAAGAGAAGCGAGACGATGGTGTGTCCAGCTCGCGGAGAGAGTGGAACGGTAGTGGCGGGAGGCTCATTCCACCAGTCGTCGCTGGTCTCGACGTCGACGTCGACGACGGTTTCGGCATCCCCAGGGACCCTAAAGTTTGTGCCCTCGGTGTTTTCATCGAGAGGGGTCCCATACTGGAAAATTGAGGTTGTGCGGCGGGGACGTCGTATGGCGTTACTTCGATGCAGGCCACCGCCGGTCGGGGTTTCTCGCGAAGATTCATTCCGGTGGGCTCTATATGCATAGTACCCTACCGAGGCCGCTGCTACCACCGAAACAACGGCCACAGCTATCCGCGGCCGCGTGAGGGAGTCGGCCGAAGGAGTTGAAGGCCACATGACTACCTGGCGAGCATGATTTTGGTGGTGAAGCGGGTGGCCAGGCGGCTGCTGCTAGCGGGGCGCAGTGACGGGGGGCCGTTCTAAAAGACTACTGTGATTTGATAAAGCAATCCGTATCCGACGCCGAGATGCAGGCAATGCCGGGTTGAAAGGTAATAGAAGTTGTTGATGTGGATGTTGAGAATTCCAAGTTGGCCAGCGACAAGCTCCAAGTGCAGGCGTTCTGTGCATGTGTTATGTGCATGTGTGGGTCCAATTGTGGCTCCACGGGCGGAAAGGGCAGGCGGCAGTCGGCAAACAAGGTGGGGCATCCAAGCTCCCAGGCCATCTCTCCATGATGCGTTTCCAGCGCTCATCGGCCGATAGCTACCGGCACCGAAAACCTACGATTTACATCCCCTTCTCCCATCACCACAGCCAACATGGGAGATAGAATACCACCACCCATGCCGGGGCACCTGCCCTCGTCATTCGACGACAACGAGTACGCCACGACATCCCAATACATGCCCCCCCTTGTCCGAATCACCATGCTCACGCGACTACAGAGAATTCTTCAACGAGCGGCCGATGCAGAAAGTCGTCCGCAAGCTCAAGGAAGAGCCGCTCGTACCCCTCGGTCTGCCAACCCCTTCCACGCGCCCCAACTGCCTCCAATTAGCTCACGGCTGACTCTTCCCCAGGCGTCGGCCTCACCGTCTTCGCCTTCGTGAATGCGTACCGCGCCCTCCGCCGCGGCGACTCCCGCCAAGCCAACAAGATGTTCCGTGCGCGAGTCGCCGCGCAGGGCTTCACCGTCATTGCCATGGTCGCCGGAAGCATGTACTACAGCCAAGACCGACAAAAGACAAAGGAATTGCGAAAGCTCAAGGATGAGCGGGACGCAGAGGAGAAGCGACAGAAGTGGATCAAGGAGCTCGAGGCTAGAGACGAGGAGGAGAAGATGATCAAGGCCAGCATAGACAAGAGGCGGCAGAAGCTGGAGGTTGCGGATACCGCGGCCAACAGTAGTGAAGAGGGGGCAGGCACAGGTGGTATTTTGGGCAAGATGGGGTTGTGGTCCAAGGGGCAGGAGGCTGCCGAGGCCGAGCAGGGGGCGAAGGAAGAGACGAAGAAGATTGAGAACCCAAAGAGCTCGTTGGGGGCGATTAGCGAGGTTTTGGTGAAGCAGAAGGGCGATGAAGGGAAGAAGTGATGGTTGCGACATCGGGCGAAAGTGTATGTTGAGGCATTTTGATGGGAATTGGCGGCATAAGATCAGCGGAATGTACGATATGTTATGGAATCAGGGCTCTACTCAGTTGTACACGTACAATGGATGTCGAAATATAAAGTGTCTTCGCCTCGACTCCGGATCATTTACAAAAGACTAGTGGTCATGTTGAGACCAACGGCTACAAAGACTTGCGATACGGGACCAGCTCAGCTGTTTCCCTAATTTGTAAACGCCATTTAAACACAAAATCACCCCATCGACCCTCCGCTCCTGTTTGCCCCAACCAAGCCAGCCATCTCCAACAAGGCCCTGTCGGCCTCAATATCGCCCGACCCCAAATTTATCTTCCTTCGGGCCTCAGCCTCTCTTTCCTCCCATGCCCATCTATCGGCCTGTGCTTTCGCTTCATCGTCGCCTCCACAGCCCCATACCTCCAGCTGGTCAATCTCAAACCGATCTTGGAAATCGAATTTCCGTGATATGCTTGTGTGAAATGCGCCTCCGCGAGAGGTGTAATCGTGATTAAAGACACCGAATTCGAAGGAGTCGTTCAAGAGGAGAGATACCGCGCCGATGGAGTAGTGTGTATTTCTGCGGCTGGATTTGGATGGCCTCGGGTGTGGGGATCCGAATGAGACGCAAGGTTGGTTGCCGGGTGGTTTTGTGAAGGCCACGTAGTCGGTGTTTATCGTCGATGCCGGAAATACGTCGTGAACAGGGGACAGCTGGAACAGAACTGTTTCAGAGTCGCCGAAGCATTGTTTGTGCGTGTGCTTCCACGGCTCGCGGACGTACACTCCGTACGTGACACGGGAAGACGCGCTGCCATTCTGGAAACGCTTGGTTGGCAGAGTATCTGCAAAGGCAGCTTCCTGGCCGCTGTGTGGCGTGTCGGTTAGTAATGTGCCACTGACGAGAAGAATCGTGGGTGCACGCCAATTGAACACCTTGGATTCGAAGCTGCCCATAGAAAACCCAGCTTCATTTCCAGAATACAGACGTCGTACGCGGCGAAAGAGTGAAGAACCGGGGAGAAACAGGGATATCTGAGCGAGCATGTGGTCGTTTAAGATGTCGCCTCTGTCAGAGAGGAGTGGTTGAGCGGGCTTTGGCGCCAATTGTTTCTGCATATTCGGGTTGGCATCTTGATGTTTGGAAAAGTCGAGATTTTTGGAAAAGAGAAAGTGTTCGAATAGGGCGTTGAAACTGTTGAACAGGTTGGGGAACAGGACAGGCATAATCGTCTGAAATTGACGATACTTGATGCCGGGTGAGGATTCTACATCGACGAATGACATGAGCACGCATTCGGCTGTTGATCGAAGCGCTTCGAGTTCCTTGCCGGTAACCCGGTCAGAATACTGCGACAAGCTCTCTTGGGCGTCCAAGGGCGCCGCTAATAGCAATAGCATGACCAATTTTCGAAAGTTGTCCGTCGGTACAATGGCGCCGTGGAATTCGGGAGCGCTGCCCTGCTTCACAGCCTCCTTGATATCGAGCAACTCATACGCGGTGAGAACCAAGTCATCGTCATCGTCATACGGCTCATCCTCGCCAGGAATATCGAGGGCAAACCCGCCGCCATTGCCAGCAGTAGCGGCCGATTCATCTTTGGCTGAATCTGACGGCTGCGACACTTGGGCGTCTGAGGCCTTACGGTCGTAGACAGCCAGACTCTTGAAGATGAGCTTGGTCCAATCTGTCGATCCTCGCGCCAGCACACGCTTGTACCGCTCGGTCATGATGACAATGACCATGACCATTTGCGGCAGCTCCAGAACTGCGGGAGCGTCTTGCAAAAAGGGAAATGCACCAAGGTAGGAAACCATTTGAAAAACAACGGGCGAGGCCCCCAAGATATCGGGCAACTCAAGGAAGCGTGCGATGGTGTCCTCCTTGAGGTACCGAACGGAGCCTTGTTGGTCGGCAAGGCTCTTGAAGACATCTTTTAGAGAATAGAATTCCAGTGAGGTGAAGCATTCATCTTTGAATCGAAGCGCCTGAAAGCACGAGGTTAGAATGGAATCGCTCTTCCAGTCGCAAACCGGGGGATTCTTCTCACAAGATGATGCGCCAAATCCTCGCGGGAGCGTCGGCGCGGCTGCTCATCCGACTGCGACTGGCCCATGGTCTGTGACTCTGTTGCTGTGCACCCAACTATTGTGCAGACATGCCGTACTAACGAACGGGACGATTCTCCTCAACCATGAGAATGGGGATTCGATGGATGACGAGCGGAATGCGATGAAGTGTCTGGTGCGTGGCGAGTCGCATCGAGGTGAGCTGTAGCCTGTGCACGTCAGCTAAGGATGGAAACGTCAAACGAATTGGGAAGCCAAGACACCGCCACCTTCTCAGGTTTGCGACCGACCAACTTCAACCATCAATCAACACGTGTTTGACGCACCGTTTCATGCGCCAAATGATGCCCGTCTACCCGGTTGAAAGCGTTCAAATTCCTGGCCTCTCATCATAGAGGCGCACACATAGTCCAGCTGCGCATCCCATTCACGTCATAGATCCCCTCTCTTGCCAACAACTTGCTCCAGCTCGTCGTGCTCAAACGAATAGCCAATCTCGACGTCTCCTCGCTGAAAAGGCCGCCCGTAAATGCTAACCCAAACGGCTAGTTCGGCTCCTTCACGTTCCTCGTCCCGAGCACATTCTGATGCGCGTCTTCTGTTTGCTCATGTATGCGGCGGGTCGGTCGGGAAATCCATCCTCTCGTCTCTGTCCTCAAACACACCCAACAAAGTCCAACAGAAGAGGCAACTACGCTTCCTAAAGATTGACCCGATGGCTCTCGATCGGAGGAGTAGGCGCCAGTTGCGTCACCTCCGTACGCTGACGAGTCGTGAGTGACATTTGTGCCGCGCAACCCCAGCCCTTTGCGAAACATTGGCCTTGCCGGCGGCGGTGGTGAAAACAATTTCTGGATTCATCTCATTGACTGCGTGGACGAGTGGGTTGACTTCCTCAACCTGAGCGATATTCGCCCTGACAAGATCGACGTTCGTAAACAAGCCGCTGTTGAGACCGGCGCGCAGTTCACCCAGCGGCGCATCTAGCAGCCGGTATTCAATATTCCCAGTCCGGAAAGAAAATAAATCCAACGCTAGGAGCCGGCGAGCGATGTGTAGAAGCAGGCCCGCGATATCGGATAGGAGCATATTGACTGTCGTCGTTGACAACTTGGCCGCGGGCCGAGGGTCAGGTGAGTTGATAAGATGCTGTCTGCAGCAAGCTGCCGGGAGCTGCATCGTAGGGATGCCACTGCATTGACTTGTTGAGAGGCGGACAGGGTAACACAAGATGCGTCTTGGATTATGGAGTAGAGTCTCATATGTAGACGGCGGCACATGGGCACATGAGCTAATGCCGGCAGAATCGCATCCGGAAACTTGCGCGAGCAGACAGGGAAAGGCATAATATTACCACACACCTAGCAAATAAAGCTCCAAGTAAAACTAACTTCTAGACCAGCGCGATTGATGTATATTGTAAAACTACTAGGCAGTGTCTAAAGGTTACATAGGGTTAGGGTCAATTATTAACATAGTACCAAGAACATCAGTACCTATTACCTAGTAACTGTCTATCCGCAACGTTATAGAAAGTTGAGGAACTAGTACCAATTTGGCTGGGTCAAGGAACATAGTAGTATAGAGCAAATGACAGCATGGCTTTTTTCTTCTGGGAAAACATATCGCGGCCATCTCCTGGCGTAGCTTTCAAAGCTCAAGTTGTTGCATATTGTGCCGCAACAAGGACCCATTGAGCTTGATGAGAGAGACCAATACTTGCCAAGAGATCGTCGCTGCAGCCACGAATAGTCGGCACGATCCTATAAGTGACGAACTATTCCATATCGTGGCTCTATAATTGGGTGCCACGTTCAACGCCCAATTCACACTCCACTTCGGCAAGTATTTCCGCCTTGGACCTATCACAACTTGACAGTATGTCAGGACTCAGACTTGCTATCTGTTTTGCCCAGAAGCGCCAGTGCTTCTCCCATAAAAATTGACCTGAATATTGGAGAAAAGCAATCGTCTTCACCTACTTCTCTGGCAAAAGATGCCATCTGACCTGTCCACGCTCCCGAACCTAGCTGCTCATGATGTTCACCCAAGTATAAAGCTATACTGATGAAAATAAGGGAATAACAACGGCCATCTCCCACTTAAGCCACGTGAAAATGAGGCGTAGGTGGCGAACGGGCCCATCAACAGTCGGCGTGGCCAAGTCCACGCGTCGCCATTAGCAAAGAGTCTTCTTTTGCTACAGGTCATATGGATCTTCAAAAAGAGGCTATTAACCCGGCATTGAATGGAGATTGTTTTTTCATGTTCTGTTTGCCATAGCGTCATCATCAAATCCTAATCAAAGCTCATGCTTTACCATCTCCCATCCTCCTGTATATATACCATTTCCTGTCATTCGGTTCTTGTTAGTAATTTCCCCAAAACTCGGCATCATGATGGGATTTTCCACCTCAACAATAATCGTCATTGCCATTGCAGCCTGTACGTTCTCTTCCCAAGTGGTCAAGGCCGCCAACCGTGCAGCCAAGTTGCCGCAAACGTAACCCCATCGACTCACCAACTCCAGTCATTTTTCCATCTCAAGATACCTCATTATGCGAGGCTGCACTGGCCTCAGTTTGTCCCAGCGACTCCGTCTGTTTCCAGTGGGGTGTCCCCGAATCTTCGAGCGGCCCCGAATCAGGCGCCATGTACTTGCAGCTTCAAGCGTCCCCGTCTTATCAATGGATTGGCCTCGGCACGGGAAGCAGGATGCGAGGGTCAAACATGTTGGTTGTGTACCAAAATGGCCATGGTAACGTAACCTTGAGCACGAGACAAAGCACCGGACATAGCATGCCGACGTACGCGCAACGCCCCGACGTCCAACTCCTCGAGGGTTCTGGCGTCTTAAACGGGACTCTGAGAGCCAACATCCGATGCGGCGAATGCTCTGACGTCGGCGTCGGCGGCTCGTCAAACTGGATAACGGCCTGGAAACAAGGTCCGCCTCTGTATTCATCAGATTTGTCGGAGGCCATCGCGTATCACGATGGGTATAGCAGCTTCACGGTGGATCTTGCGCAGGCAGCCATCGCCTCGGATGAGAACCCTTTCCTCTCTAATAATAGTTCTGTCGATACACACTCGGGCCTCTCATCGGCGATCTCTAGACTGAATACTGTGGATCAAACGAGTGAGACTGCGGCTCTTTTATGGGCTCACGGTATTGTTATGAGTGTGGTGTTTTTGATTGGCTTTCCGGCCGGATCCTTCATCATGTTGTTGGTTGGCCGGTGGAAAATCCACGCTGGTTGGCAAGTACTATCCTTTATTGGGTTGTGTTGCGGATTTGCCATTGGGGTTATGATTTCCCCGCGATATAATGGAGTAAGCTTCCCCCTCCATTGAATATACCAATCTCTTGGCTAACTGGGATTATAGCTCTTCCAAGATAGCCATACTCGACTTGGTGTTATAGTGTTTGCTCTCATGGCCATACAGCCTGTACTAGGATGGCTACACCACGTACACTACTGCAAGTACCGGAAGCGTGGTATCGTCAGTCACATCCATGTATGGTACGGCCGCTGCCTCATGGGCCTTGGCATAGTGGCTGGTGGCCTTGGTCTCTGGCTAGCCCGCGCTCCCCAAGGGTTTATCATTACCTACTGCGTAGTGGCTGGGTTAGTCGCATTATGTTACTGTGTCAGCATCGTTTTTGGCCGCAGGAAATATAATGGTGCTGCCGGCAAAGACGTAAATACATACATGTTGCCAGACATGTCGGAGGAGTCGAGGTTGAGTTCTGCCGTATCCAAAACCAATCGGGCCCGTTAGTAACCTAGGTTTATGTTGTACCCCTAGGCAGTTGCAAGAAAAGAACATGATATGCAGGATAATTGCAATACACTTGCTCTGCTTGGCCTCTGTCCTTGTACGAAAGTAGTTTTATTCATGTTTATACATAACTGGCTATTAGGAAAAGCCTGAGTACGTAGAGAATTGTTTATTGATAGAGAAAAAGTAGAACGAGGTCTAAGATTATAGACAAGTAGAAGCTAGTGGAAGGAAATAATCGATCCCGGACGATGGAAAAAATATGTTGGTCGGGACTACGAAGAGAGAAGAGAGCCAAGAGAGCACACTTATTGTATGTACATAGATAGGCTCCCGAGCTGTATGTATATTGGATATCAACAGCGTAGACCCTCGGTAATGCACACGACCGAAATAGGCAGCATAACTACGAAGATGTATCAACCACGCCATTTGCGGGTCTTGACGGATTCATATGCAACAACACCCATCGATGATATGGAGTTTGGCCAAGCACTTCTGTGCGTAAATTCATAAGCAGTCTGGACTGAGCTGAGCTCTGCAAGTCAGCGTTTCTCAAAATACTGACACATCCACTGCCACGACCTTATCTGCGACAGGGTCTTCGATGCCGGCACGCACAAAAGTTGCCTGGCCAAGGCTGCCAAGGAAGAAAACTTCATGGGCATCTCGCAACTTATTCAGCTGTGTCCACATCTCGAATACCTTGATCTGCATTATTTTCACATGTACAAGCAGAAAATAAATATATTCTCCGGGTTTCGCTTCAAGCGGATCTTGCAATATGTTGTAGAACTGAGCAGGTTGCCCAAGTTGGTTGGGTGTACACTTTGAGGCCTTTCAGCCAACGGAGAAGACTTCAATGTTGCTTGATTTCATCACACGGACAGAGCCGCGTAGCTTATCCCTGCAAAATATCCGATTGTACCAAGGGGCCTTTAGTGCCGTCATCAACTACTGCACCAGTGAGGAGGCAGGCGTTAAGGAACTGTTCTTGGACACGCTCTATGAGCCAAAGGGCCTGGTCCACTTTGACGGGTGTCGAGACCATCTTGCGAGACTCCAAGACGGTTGTGAAAGGCTACAGCGGGATCAAGGTACAATCAGGTAGCCGATTTCGTTTTCTGTATCCAAGCCCATCTTTATTGGCAGTCCGGGGACGGCCGAGTACAAGCGGAGACAGTGTCTAGAATATGTTTAAGGCTGGGATACTTATCTACATGTGCCATTTGACATACCAACCAACATGACACCTGATCTGCGTGCTATGAACTGGCCCTCAAGCAACCTGCAACCCGAGGTTGCTACCCCTAAAGCTCGTCTGCCCCAGCCACAGTCTCCAATCCGGGTGCTGCTTGCCGTCGGCGTTGCGATCATACTCAAAAAGCGCAACACCCTTCCAGAATGGTTTCTTCTCCTTCACGCCCGCATTAGGTTTGTCATTCTCTCGTTGGGGATTATAGTTGTATTTGGTGATGCCAACGCCGGGTACTACTCTCTGGAGCAGCTCGACCCTATGTTTTCCGGGCTCGTCAGTCACAGGTGAAACTGCAGAATATCCAAGTCGAGCCAAGCGCTACGTACAAGCTTTTGTATTCTGCCGGATACTGCTGCGAGAGTTCGTCGTTGACGGTGGATCGGTTGCGCGGCGTCATGATAAACGCCCGTGTGTGGTCATCCGGACCGGTGAAGAGAGACCTGTCGAGAGCCGGTCCAGCTGTATATGTCGTGTTGCCTTCGCCTCTGATCATGTTGAGAACCGGCTGGAATCCATACGCACCACGCAGGTGCCTCCGTGATGCGTAGTGAATGTCTTCCCAAAAGTGACACTACAAAACCCAAGTTAGCTGCGACGCAGGCATGAAGGATACATGGCATGGGAATCCGAGGGCACGTCTGACAATATACACGGCGCGAGCAGAAACCACGGCCAAGACTGTGCAGCCTACAAGCTCGGTGCGAGCCGTCCCAGCGAGAAACTGGCCCTTGGTTAACTCGGCCGCAGCAAAGGATGTCTGATAGCAGAAGCTGGGCGAGTCAAATCCACCGGCTTCGAATGGACACAGAGGCTGCAGCGTGGGTTTCTCGCTCTGTTTTTCGAGATATTGGCCTACTTTATCTTGGCGAGGGTTGGAGAGAAGGCGCTTGAGCAAGCCTTGTCCCATGCTGGGATTTTCTTCTGCAGTGCCGTGGACAAGCTCCTCCATGGTAGCCGGACTTCGTTTCGATACATTGCAGCCCATAGAACCACAGCTGCCTGGGTGGCAAACCTGGCAAGGAGATGGCTTGTTTTCTCTTTTGTGTGCCGCAAGAACATGTCGTCTGCAGTCGTCTGTTAGCCTCATCTCTGTCCTCGTTTCTTTCCGCTTAATGGTAGATTACCCTGATAAAAGAGGAGTTGGACGCTCTAGGATCCGAGATTCACCAAGTACAGATAGCAGAACTAAAATTACGACCAAGATATTCATATTGGACGTTGGCATCTGAATGTAAAATGTTGAGCCAGGCGCTGTCAATCCAAGAGGAGGAGACACGCACTCAGCTATCAAACGCACTTCCTTGTGTATATATTCGATCACATGAGTTATGCCGAGCGACAAGGAAGGAAAGGAGTCAACCAACGCGAAAGACTATTGATAACACCACGACATGGAACAATAGCCCATGATCCTTCAGTGCGTGCAAAATCCAGCACAACCAGAGAGTACAACTAGTCGATGCTTGGAATGCGGACGAGGGCAGACCTCGCAGATATACTGTGTGTGTGGGCATTTTAGGTTTTCAGCGTGACTTAGCGTGAGTCTATATCGCGGAGGAGACCTGCTCACCAATACAAGTTATCCATTTAATATGAGTGCACGCTAGTCAGGCCCGGATTGCAAAGATGGACAATGTACCGGTGATTAGTTGTGTGTTCTTGCCATTTCGCCAGGAGGGCTCGGCGTTGTTTCTGTCCGACGTCTACAGACATGCTCTGCCAGCCTGTGATGTTCAGGATCAGACTGTATCCATGGCCGCTGCATTGGTCCTCTATGCATTGCCCAGGATGTATGGACCTGATTGCCGCAAGGGTGTTTTCATCGGCCCTGACTGCGACCAGGAGGCCGCGAGCGACGCAAAGGCATCAACTGTATCGGCATCGGCTGCCTCGGCGGCGACTGTGGTGACAAAGGCATATGCTTCGGCCAGTTAAAGTCAAGGAGAATTGCAAAACAACCTGCGACTTTAAAAAACAGTGCAATGAATGATCTAGAGGAGACGAGGAATGCAGAGGCGGCAACAGGTTCAAATGGATGTAATGACGTGTGGTATCATAGTAAAAAGGAGGATTACACTTTTTTCGGCAGTCTGAGCAACATTCAGTCGAATAAGTATCAGTGTGGTGAGTCAATACGAGTGTTCTGGTGGTGATGCGGCTGAAGGAATGTAGGTTATTTTTGGGACTGTGCTGGTCATTTTTTCTCTTCCGATAATAACTGTGAAGGCGATTAGGAAAAAAGCCTCTTATGGCCTAGTGTTGAATGGAGCTTGTGTCCAGGGAGCATATCTAGAAACCTACTAGCAATATACTTTGCTATGATTGTGACAAGAGTTCAACAAAGAAGGCCTGGAGTAATAGCTCAATGCATCTAATAACAGTCTTTGGTGGCAAAGGTCCTTGGTTTTCCTCAAGTCCTTGTTGACCGAAGACGTCTTTAAATACAACAAGTCAGTGAGGGACTTTGCCCTAGGTCCCGTGATCGTAGCCCTTGTATAACAGCCCATTTCCGTGCGACAATACTTGACATACTTAACCAAGATGGTACATGTAGCATTTGTATAGATGGCCCAATAAATTGACATGGTACGCAATATTGGATATAGTTGTCGGCCCTATTCCTACTCATAAAGCTACATAGCATTATTGCTACTTCTTTTATCACACCACTCAGAGTGGCTACTCGCAATTCGACTGCCAGTCGGTGTAAGGCAACTTTCAGTCTCTTAACCCTTCAGCACTTACTCCCACTTGAAACGCTAATAAACGCAATGCGTAGGAGGAATTATGTTAATACGTAGCATCATAGCAGAAGTGTGTCGGTAGAATGGGATTCAACATTAACTTGACTCTAATAATTGTACACAGGAGATAAGGTTTACATTCTTTCTGGATATTAGTCAGGGCTCTTGAGCAAAACCCAGATGCTCGAAGCAAATCTACAAGTCAGCCGTGTAACGGTCTTGTGAGTATTGACAACTGACTAGATAATTCTAACAAATATCCAAAGCTGAAGAAGGAAGAACCAGAGAATAGAGCGAAGAATAGTACAATAATTAATTCAGGATGTGCCAGAATTGTCGCTGTGGCCTACCGAGGAAGATGAGCACGATAGAAAGGCAGTTGCTCTGTGTGGCTCTAAAATAGGCATTGTTAACTCGGACAGGAAGTCAACGTTGTCGCGCTTGAGGCTTTGTATGGAGGGAATGTATTTCTTGGCGCATAAAACTCCCAACATTTGTTTGAAATGATTAGCTGGGGTTAAAATGTAGGAGTAGCCACATGTGCAAGCTTACCAACATTGCCCAAAAAAGGATTAGCGCCCCGACACAGCCAGGGCAGCTGGTCACATGGTAAAAGCGGCGCCGCTCAGGCTCCTGCCACTGCCACTGGCAGCTGCAAGCAGGTCTGGTACGTGACTGGCTCAATTGGCCCACCAGCCAGTTACACCAACCAGACAGATTGACACCAGACCTGTTGGCCGCGCTGATCTTGGCCTTCGTTTTCTGTTCTCCAGCCTGCACGACCTTGACCGAGCCGGAGCACTGGGTAGAGAGGCTGCTGCGTCCTTGTGCGCTGAGCATTGAACCGACCTCGATTGATCGACACGGTCATTTCGCCGTCTCTCTGCCTCGCCTGTGGCGCCGTTCCGAACACGCCAACACGCTTCGCTGACCCGGCTCCGCCTTCCTTCGGCCAGCCAGACCAATCACGCATCACAACATAGACGTCGTCCTGGCTGGGCCAGCACTTGGTTATCGTATTTCTCTCCTTGCTTATTCTGATCGAGTCCCGCGGCAGCTGGCGCCTACACACGTCCATTGCGAGCCCTGCGTCGCCGTCGAATGCCTCGCCCGTCTGACCGCCGTCGTGAAACGTCCATCACGAGTGCAACAAGCCAGCCTCCGACCCGTATGGCACCTTTATGATGTATTGCTCCATGCTGGCCGATTAAACCCGAACTCTTGGACTTCTTGGTCCTGCCATAGCCGCGTGTGATGGAGCGGAAAAGAAAGTTGCCCCCAAGGGCCGCCGCCCGTCAAGAGCAGGCGGCCAAGAAACGAAATGTTACGACTCGACAGTCGTCAACACCAGCTGTTGCAGAACCGCCTCCTCGCGAACCGACACCGTCGCCGCCGCCTCCTCCTCCTCCTCCGCTGCCCAAGTCAATCGAAGTCGGAAAGCCTCTGCCTACCGTGGAAGAGCCTCAGCCAACGAACCTGTCCTGCAAAGAATACCAGTCCGTGTCTGAGAGGTAAGGCTATCCATCCAGCATACTCAGCAGGAGAAAAAGTTTCTCTTTCTTGCCCCTCATGCCCCCCTCTCATGCCCCCCTGTGCTAACCGTGCATTTTCAGCGGTGTCATGTCGGAATCGCTCTCGAGATCGCGGCACAAGTGGATCAGCGAAGGCCTGTTTGAAAAGTTTTGGTCAAAACCACACAAACGCAAGGGCGTGCTGCAAGAGGATCCAAATAATCCACCCAAGGATAGTATGATGAAAGTTGGATTGGTCACGCTTACCATCGAGCCGCACATCGTGGAAGCAACCATGTATGCTGTTAAAACGTCCAAGCTGCTACCTCACCAGCAGCAGAGATTTAAACCCAACCCTCAGCCACCCGGACAAGCGACGCCAACAGGTCAACCGCAACAACCAACCGTTGTGCAACCACAACCGCAGCAGCAGCAGCAGCAGCAACCACACCCTAACCCTTCAGCGCCGGCACAACAACCTGTTCTCGCACGGCCTGTTCTTCAATATGGTCCTCCAAACGGGGCCATGCGGCCCCCGCCAATTCCTACCAGTCCTGTTACAACCACTCCGACATCAATGGCGACACCAGCAGCTTCTACCCCGGGCGCTACTCCTGCCGGGGCTGTACCTGTATCGGCAAATTCTACGTCGGCGGCGCCTACAGCGGCTGCTCCAGTATCACCAAAGTCGTCATCCCCAGCTCTGCTAGCCGTGCCGCCGGCCTCTTCTCCCGCAGAAATACATGTTAAAGCCACAGCATCTCCCAATCCAGGGCCTCCAAGTGTTGCCCAGCCTGCGCAACCATCTGCTCCCCAACAAGGACAGCCGCAAGCGCAGTCACAGGGGGTGGTGGCTTCCACTCCGACGCCTACTCCAGCCCCCAAGGCCTCACAACATTCTTCTCCACCACCAAACACTGTTCCCCTTGCGAGTGGTGCACATCCGCCATCTTCAACGATACAAACTCCTCTACAACCTGCTGGGGCACCTCAACTTATTACCCGCCCCGTGACCAACGCTCCACCAAGACAGGCTGTTGTCTCTAGTCCAGCGGCCGGGCCATCTTCCAGCACCGCGTCTCGCCCTGCTGGCACGCCTAATCAGGCCCAACCGCCTGCGCCTAGCAATAGACCACCAGCACCAGCACCAAGAGCCGCGCCAGCTCCGGCAGCAAAACCTGCGGCGAATGACCCGGTGATTGCGTTGCTTGCCCAAAAGGCCTCTGCCGATCCTGAACTTCGAGATTTGATGAAGAGGGTCGCAGTTGGACAAGCAAAGGATGGGGAGTTGGCCAAGTTCCAAAAGATCATCGACCAGCTGAATGCAGAGTATCGGCAGCGAGGTGGCCAGCAAGGCCCGTCTGCCGATAGGCTACTGGTGGATGGTCGAACCGTAAAGTATTTCGCTGATGAGGTTCGCACCATTTTGGATATTGTGCTTGCTTCAAACCCGAACCAGAAGTCATCTGAACTTCGACCGCCTCCGCGAAGCGATCCGTTGGTCGTCCTTTTGGTAAAAACTGCTCTTGAAAACCAGCGCATAAAGGACATGATTCGTCGCATAGCCGAGGGGAAGCCTGGATTCACCGATGCCACGGATCTGAAGCAAACTTTGGACCGCCTACATCGAGATGCGAAAATAACACCAAAGGCCACCACCACGCCTGGACCTTCACCCCTTAGACAGCCCCCCGTAAACGGGTCTCCTGCGTCCCAGCCGAAGACCCAAGCACCGCAAGGGGCTCAACAAACGAACCAGCAGATAAAATCAAAAGCATCAAGCCATGTAAATCGACCGGATCTTTCAGCAGTAGTGTTTGATTTTGGGTCAGGAGATAGATATCTGTTTCCTAGATACAGCATCTTGGAATTCTTGCCATCGCAGTCCGGGCAGCATGTGGTTGCATCATTCTTGATTGTTCGCAAGGGCAGCGCATCAGAGTATGGGGGTGATCCAAAGCTCGACTATTATCAGCCTGTTACGATCCGCCTGCAAACCACGACGGGGCGACATTTGGAGAACCTGGCGCGCGTTGTTGCTCCACAGGACGAGGTTCGCCGTTACATGGACGATGTGATGGACAACATGACGCGAGCCGAGTACGTGTTGCTCGCCATGCGGCTGCCACGGGCAGACTTTGATCCCCAGGAAGTTGTCCCTGTGGTGGAGGACTCCAAAGCAAGCAGCCCAACACCCAAATCCGAACCGGAGACAGATAATAATACGACGCCAAAACCCGGCGTATTGTGGACCACCGGATCCAGTAACAAGGCGACTGTTTCCGCCTTGCCAGTAAAGCTTCAAGATCCAGAGCAAGAGGCACAGTCCAAGTACGAGCGTCTTATTCGATCTGTGGCGGAGAAGGAGGTGGACGGTTTGTGAATGAAGGAGTCTGACGACTCGATTTTGACTTAATATTCATGCATGTTGTCATTCTTATACGAGCTAGATCCCTCGGCATAGGGACTCATAACGGGGAGTTACAAGGGAAGCTTGCTACGGGGCCCTGGAGTTTTTGTCTAATTACACCGGTGATGGAACTACGAGTGTTGTATACAAAGCCACTCGGCAACTAATCCTATCAAGTCGAAAAGATGCATGATGAATCAATGCAATGAAAAGTATATTTTCTGAAACCCTCCGACTTGAAGCTGTAATCTTGCCCGCACGTTTCGGCTC